CATGATGAAACCCTGCCTCTACTAAAAATAAAAAAAATTAGCGGGGCACAGTGGCTCACGCCTGTAATCCCAGCTGCTCAGGAGCCTGAGGCAGGAGAATCCTTTGAAGCCAGGAGATGGAGGTTGCGGTGAGCCGAGGTCATGCCATTGCACTCCAGTCTGGGCAACAAGAGTGTCTAAAAAACAAACAAAAAACAGCAGCAGAGTCGATGCTGGTCTTCCGTTGGCTTCTTGGGGTGTTGGGGTGATTGATTTTCATACTCGTTTAGTGGCTTTCAGGAGTATGTGTGAGACAGCCGCTGGCTCCATCTGCCAACTGCCAGAGACTAGCAAATGCACATGGAATCTGAAACAAACAAAAACCCTGCACGTGGGAACTCATACTTTGTCAAGTAGATACCTCTCGCTCCTCCTGACGCTCCCCAAACTAGGCACCTGTGGGGGTGGGAGGTAGGAAGGTGGCAGGCTTTTTCAAACTTTCCCGCCAAAGCACTATCAAGGCAGAAGAGTATTCTAAGAACAGGAAATTTCTGAGGTCTTCCCTTTTGTTCTTAGAATACATGTTGAATTTGCATTTCACCAGACTCCATATTTTGGCTAGTGATATCGTCTACTGAGCTCCTGCCGTGTGCCAAGTGGTGTGCTACCTTTCCTTTCTTCCCCCTGGGAGGGCCAGCCTTTTCCAGGAAGGCAAGGGTAGGCACTGATGAGGGAATTACCCCGGCGCAGGCAGAGCAAGTCCCAAGGCTGGGTTCACCAAGTCCCAGCACACCTTCTGGCAGTGGAGTCTATTAAGCAAAATCTTCAGATGTCTGGGTCGCGGGGCAGCCGGGGATTTTCGAAAGCACTGAAGTGTATGGTCACGTCAAGAGGCTGCCAGCCTCTCACCTGCTGTCAGGAAGAAAGGCTGCTGGTGTCCAGGGAGTCAAGAACGACTCACTTAAGCAGGAGTGTGACTAAGATGAGAGCAGATTCAAGAGTGCTACTGACAGCCAGAGTACACTGTCAGATCTCTCCCAGAAAACGATGGACGAGAAACCCACAAGGCGGGGAGTGCGGCTCCCTGCCACGGTGTGCTGGGCCAGGCCATGCTGTTGGCATGCAGATGCTCTGGGAGCATTTTCTTGTCAGCAGTTAGGATGCCAGAACCCTCCCTCTTCTGCAGTTGGGATTGTATTATCGGCTCCGAGTGGTCCTATCTGTAAACATTAGGCACCTGAATGTGAATGAGCTGTCACATTGTAAAGCTACAGTGGTTCCCAATGTGGCCCCTCCGGTGGGAAAGTGCAGGTTGCAGGACACCTGAGCTAGTACCCAGGTGGAGCAGGGAACTGTCATTTTCTGGGCATCTACCACGAGCCAGACCTCATCAGCTCACTCAATCCTTACAGCTGCCTTACTATTCTACAGACAAAGAATAATAAGCACCACTTCCACTCACATGTGTCTCCATTTCCAGTTCACTCAGTCTCATCTGGGCCTAAGCTCCCACTTGGGATTTATCAACCTCTGCAGAAGGGTGGTAAGCCCTGCCTCTGCTCGGCAGCCCACCAAAGCGGTCCCCGACTTGCTGGCCAGCACAGGCCACAGGCAACACCACGACATGGTTAACACATTAACAGCACTGGAGGCTGCTGACTGTTCCAAGATGAATGGAAGCCGCCTGCAATTCTCTCTCTTATTCTCCTGTTTGATTGCTGTCTTCCCATGCATTGTCAGGATGATTTCTACAAGCAGGAGTTCCTTGGAACTTCACGGTGTAATTTATTAGAGGTTCTTGCCTCTTGGGAATGCCTTGAATTCACACATTTTCTAGATCGCTATAATTCCAACCAATAAGATAATTCTACTGGAGACTTCTCCAAGCGGGTACAAATTCCTTTTAATGCGAAGAGGCAATGAATACAATTTATAAGTCTGCCTGGCTCCCAGACACTGAGCTCTCCTCATCCTGGAGCTGCTGTGTTGGCTGAATTACTCAGCTGAAAAAATGATTCTCATCTAGAATTCACTCCATGAGTGTGTTTGTGTCAGATCTAGGGGTCTGTAGCTCAAACTTCTCTGTGCAAGAAGCCTGTTGCATTTATGTACCAATTTAAAAAAAAAGCCATTCTCAAGAAGATATATGTGTGTGTACGCATATGTATATTTATGCACAACCCAGCAACTAATGCTTAGTAAGCTTCTACTGCGTGATTACGGCAGGTACACTGCACATCCCTACTTCTCCCACCAACTTTCACCCTTTACCTTTTCAATAATAACAGGACAGTAAACTCATTTTTAAAAAATCAAATGTTTAATGATGAAAAGCTGTATTCATTATAACACTGTAGATACAGAAACATCAAGCAGGTGTCAAAAATCCCACTGGACTTTACATGCAGGCTTTAACCAACTTCGCTCTTTGCTTTAGGACAGGAAAATTCATTAATTAAAACTTGAAAACACAATAAAACAATCACAAAACAAACTCTCTTTGTTTCTGGTGTTATCAGTGAAGCATCAGAATGAAAGTTCAGAAAAAAGCTTTGGCTGCCCCACCTTATTAAAAACATGGTAACACACAACCCGCCTCTGGGGGCACTGCGCCATGACTCCTTGGAGCAGAGAACACAGCAGGAGCACATACATTTCTAATCCCTATTTGAGAATTGAAGGAAATAGCCTGGTCAGTTGACTTGCCCAAGGTCACCCAGGCAGTCAGAGGTAAGAGTCTGGCCTAGTTCTGCTGTTTCTAGGAATCATATCCGTGTGGTGATCTGCTCTGTTATTTGAGAGTCAAGGTTTAACAGAACCGGTGGGACAGCTTGGGCAGGTACGTTCCAGTCTGGCCTGTCGGCTAAGACACCAGCAGGCCTTCAGGTCTGGGGTTCAGGGCTGCATTTAAAGTTACAGTGCTCAACACCGGTCTCCCTAAGAATCCTCTGGTCGGGCCCTATTTTGAACAGGAAGTTGAACTCTTTGAAGAGTTGGATGTTGGATATTTAATTTTCTTCCTTGCCGACTCCTCCAAGCCTCTCAGCTGACATTCTTGGATTCACATGATTCCACAACTGAAGTGTTGATTCAAAACTGCCTGCAGGGTTTCCCAGTTGCTGGAGGTGGGTTTCGTTCGGGAAGGAATGGCACATGGGTTGCACCTCAGGAAGACATGCTAACAATCTCTGATGAGGATTCTGAGTCTAGATTCAGCTGGAAAGCAGCGCTGTGACTGATTAGTGATGTCTGGCACAAGCTGGAGGCGGGTAGGGGAACAGTTGGGATCAGTGTCACTTACTCTAGGTCTAGGTCAAGAGCACCTGCAGCAATGGGCCAATTTCAGCCTGTGCCCTTCCCTACACAAATTCTTCCCTGTTATTATAACCAGCACTGCACTGATGCACATTTGGGACTGGATGCCTTATAGGGAGCCCCCGCCCAGCCTTATGGGTAATCGCTGGAGACAGGCACTATCAGGCAGAACATAACACCTGCATATCTTCCTTCACTCCCCAGGCTTCCAGACATATCCTAGGATCCCATCTCGGAAAATCAGAGCCCTCCCCGCAGTATCTAGTTGTCTATTTCCATTGTACGTTCCTGACAGAAGCTCTAAAGACAGGCCGTGGGCTTCTTTCAGTGGTTAGCAAACAGAATCTTCTCAGGAGTTTTGATCCTAACACAAAGATGGCTGTAACCTTCCTTGCTATGGTTTGAAGGGTTAGGAGTGGCCTTCCAGAACCGCTGGGAGGTCAGGGGCATGATAGGCCAAGGGCCTCCGGGACATCCCTCCCGTTCTTTCACTGCCCCAAGCGGAGTCCGGCTGGTTTCCATTTCCATGCTGCATGGCTATGAAATCAGAGCACAAGCCTGGGCACTTGCTGGCTGAAGACACCACTCTACCCATGATCAAGAATAATTCAGCAAGAGATGCTTCCATGATCCTGCCACACTCTAGCCATGGGATTCTGGACAGTCAGTGTAATGTAACACTAGACTTTGGCTGAAGACTAGAGAAAAGCCTTTTGCCTCCCTTTCCTCACATCTGGGAAAGACAACTCTTCCTTGGGCTTCCCCTGTGAAGGCCAAGCACTTGCTTTGGCCCACATCTCATATGGGAGGCAGCTCCCATGCTCCTGCAAAGGATGGTACCAGTGCCACCAGCAGTGGTGGTCCCTTACAGCGAACTCCTCAGGCACAAAAGCAGGGGCATGAGGTTAACAGATTGCATGTCTGTATTCAAAATGGCCTGTGGGAAACGTCAGAAGCCTCATCCAATCCCTGTCCTTCAACCCTTCCAGATTGTTTCCAAGCCTTCCGAGGGGCCAAACTTGGATCATGTTTGGTACCAAAAGCTGAGGACGAAGCAGAATGGAACTTGCTGTTTTCTTTCGCCAGAACAGACCCATTTTCAAGTCAACATCCCGCACTATTTACACTCTTCCTTCCAGCGCTAGTTCAGGTGCAGACCTTGGACAAAACAATCGGGGATAGATCCTGATGTGTTTTAAGCGGTTTCTTAATTCTTTGGAATAGATTGTTATGCCTCAGCAGCAGGCAGGAGTCTCCCTAGCATGGGGCAGTAAGTGAGCTTCGCTTGTGTGGCTTTTAGGTTTAATAACACACTTTGCTTACATCTCTGAGACAGGGCTGACCTAACTGCAGTTGGCCAGAAGCACAGGTTGTCTTTTGAGGATTTTCCGTCCTCAATTAGCGTTTGTAGCATCATCTCCATTTTCTTTCTTTAATTCCATTTCCTTCCTTTAGGTCACTGCAACCTATCTCAAAGGTTACACTTAGGAGACAGTTCATTTTTTTCCAAATGTTGGTGATTCTTTTGCTCAGTTATGTCTTCTTTTGCATCTTTGAGACATGTACTTAGAGCTACACTTCAGCTTCTCATAAACAAGTTCTAAAGCACAAAGTATAAGCTTCCTACTCACATTGGAAATATTCCACAGGTTAAAAACTATTCTAAAGGCTAAAACCTACACACACACAAATAAAGATTTCCAATGTAAATTTTACTATTTTATTTGTGAAAAAACTACAAGCAGAATTCATAAATAGACATTTCTATTTAAAGCAGGAAAATGATAAAGTGGCTTCTAATAACATAGTCGTGCACATGCCAGTAACAGGAATATATTAACATCTTTTATTTGCTAGACAAAGAGCAGTGTCCAATATAAATTTCCCCCAAAACATTTAAGACCTGTGAATTTTTGACCAGTTCACAAAACCACCAACTGACACTTTAGCATGAAGAAAAAAACAAACCTAACAGACTGTCAGCTCTAAAGACATTACAGAGCAGAAACTTCCAAAAGCGTTATACAAGCTGTCTTTCTGGGCAAATGAAAAATATAGCTCGTATAATACATTAACAAAAATTCACAAGATTGTTTTGACATACTTAACAAGCATTCTCTATTTGTCTCCAACAAACAAAGCTAAGGAAATAATGTAACCATCTTTACACAGTAAATTAAGGTTACAAGTCATACACAAGAACAGAACTGCTTGCGCATTAAAAACTGTTCAGCTCCATTGTCATACTCTAAATGTTGGCTCTTAAACCATTTTCGGTTACATACAAGCAAAGGTTATTATATATTCAGCAATTAATAAATTTTCAATAATTTAAGATACGGCAGCTTAAAAAAGTAGACTGAGAATGGTCTTGATAAGGCAGGTGAAACATCTTAGTGGAACTAAACTCACAGAAGCTTCTGCCAATGTTTTTAAATATCCAGATTGAAACTGAAAGGTTTTGATTAGAATATTTTGTGGGTGTCAAGATGTCTTTAACTGCGTGACTCAAGCAGAGCAAGTCAGGTAAGCTCTGTGCGTGCACACACGCACGAGATTGCGTGGTATTAAAACAAATGGAAACTTGCAAGCATAACACTGTGCTTTTTGTTTGTTTAACCTGCTTTTTTCTGTGCCACTGAATACCAAGTATTTCTGGTCCTCTTTTAATATATATCTTTATAATCTACACTAGTGTTTTTACACGCTGCCTACTAATTGTAGGGCAAACTGCAGATGCGTTAAGTTACAGGAATTCCATTTCCAGAATACATGCCTGAGGGATGTCATCCATTTCCAAAATTAAAAGTCTAATGTACCTACTACCTCACTACCCCAACAGAATACCCCACAGCAGCTAAAGGGCTGGCCCTGTAATATCTGATTGCTTAGATAACTCCCACTGTTAGCTGCAGTTTCTACAAAGATGGCAATTTCATGCCGCTTGTTCTAAAGCAATCTTCCCCTTCCTTCACCCCTCCCTATTCTTTATCACGGAGGCAAAACTGAGAAACCAAAACATTGGCATGAATGAATTAGCAGCCTATGAGTAGCTGGTTAATCAGCTTTTTCCACTCATCTATGGGGTCCAATCACTTTACATGAAACTAGTTTTTGAAAAAGTACACAGTGTGTCTGAAGAAAGTGCATACCAACACTTATTGGTTCAAAAAGCAGTGCAACCTACATGAGTTTGGTGGCATTTAAGTGTTTTTAAAAAGTTAATTTAAAAAACAGCAATTCCTTAAACCTCTGGAAAATAAATATGGCTGACTAATTTACCCTCCCTGAGACCCTTAATAAAAGGAATATTAAAACTTTAGAAGGAATGTCTTTGCAATATCCCACTAATATTAAAATGTGGATTTAAAATTCATAGTCAAATCACTATGTATTATATATTCTGATGCTTACAGAAAGCATCTGATTTCCTTTGGTTCATTAATAAATACTTTAAAAATGTATTTAAAAAGATAAGCATAGCTTGCATCCCAGACACAAGCATTATTTTAAAAAGGGGGGAACATTGTCCATGCACTTGAGAATAGGACCACAGCAACAAATGGCACTGCTTTATCATCTAGACCTTTGAGAAAACAATTTAAATTATGGTACATTAGTGGCTACAGAATAGTTTTAATGTAAATGTGAAAGGAACCTTTCCTGTTGGCTACTCAATTCAAGCTGTTAATTTTTTTATTTGTTGCCTCCACAGACAGAAATTACTTCTAATATTAAGCAAACCAGGTTTTTAACACCAAAATGTGGTGTTTCATTACAAATTGGGCTGCCCTCCTGTGAGTCCCTAAAGGAAGGTCAAATAAAGAGAGGTAACCTCAAATTCTCATGCTTGAAATGTCTCTGAAATACTACAAACTCTGTATCTAAAATGTAAAAGTCAAATAGAAGAGACCCCCCACATCCAAACAAAAGCAAAACAAATTTTTTAAAAATTATTTTAATAAGGACGAGGAGGTGGAATCGTATTAGTGGTCGTTGATTATTATTATTATTATTTTTTTTTTTTTGCAAGACAGTAAAAGGAGGGAAGAGAATGAAATAGAACAGTTTGTTCAAGTTATCATTATGTCCAGGAAGAGTAAAAGATTACATGCTGCTGGCAGCAAGTGCGAGCTTTCCCTGCAATTCTGGCTGCAGGCGCGCAAGGCCTTCACCACTGGAGTTCCTACCACAGCGGGGGAATTGAGAAATGTCTCCAAACACTGAAAAGCTCCATGTCAGGACTGGACGTGTGGTTGATAACCTTTGTTCAGTAAAACAAATCATAGAAGGTTTTGAGAAGGAAAAACAAAGAATGCTCACGACTCAATCAGTAGAGTGAAGGTTTATGAGATGAGGGGAGAGATGAGGCAAACAAATCTTAACAACAAACACCACCACTGCAACGTCATGTGGAAAGCAGAAACAAGGGATTGCTTCCTGTATAGACCAAAAATACAGTTTATAGACTGTTTCAATCCTAAAACTAAGACAATTTCTAGATTTACCTCAGACATGAGTAGAGGTCTGGAAAATGGATGGAATTCGAGTTACAGAATACCATATTTTCATGAGTGCTTACGTAAGAACAGCAAATGATAACATGTAACCGTAATTTACACGAATACTTGGCATTCTGGAGCTAGTTTAGTTAGTTACTTTTGAATGATCAAAGCCCTCCCCAACTAACCACTTGTGATTTGTCAGTTATTCCATTGCAAATGCAGGCTATCTGGAGCAGTCTTTAAATTTGAGATCACATTGTTTAAAAAATATATATTTTTATATCGTCCAGTACTCTTTAGACAGATGGGAGAGTCAAGTTCCCACGTGGATTGGAACATACTTTATGTAAGACTGATTTTAAATTAAATTTCAGCACTTTCATAGAAGGGACTGTCCCAGATCTGTAACTGTTCAATGTTGTATTCACTTCACAGTGTATCAAGCACCAGCGTTGCCATGGATTGGTTTCAAATAACCCTTTATATATAATTTTATATTTATATATATATAGTTATATCAAAACTGATAGTACATAGTATAACTGGAAGAAAGAACTAAACTTAAAAGGATATGCTGAAAGGATGGAGTCTGTGAACACAATAAATAAAAGTTCCCTCCCCCTCCCAACCCTCCCTCCCAACAAAACAAAAAAACAAAAAACCAGTTGTAATGTACATGGAAAATTGTGCACAGCAGATTTTTTTTTTTTTTTTATAAAAAGTAGATTCAGGAGCACATCCAATTATAAATGATTGTTAGGAAAATCATATAAAACAATGGAATACATAAAAGTGTCAAGAGTAATCGTCAGGGTGCGAAATTCCTTGGTGGCCAGATGCCCATGGCAAGCAGAAATTATCCTGGCAGCATCACTAAGAGGTCGATGTCCACAGAAGATTCTCCAGGGATGCAAGCAGCATGGGCAGGTGGAGGATTTGAATTTCATACCCTGATTCATAGTTTTCACAATTCCATGTGCAATTTCAGAAAGATTCATCATTGACTGCTGACATGTCGCCCTTTGGCGTGGAGGAACGGGAGGAGCCCTTGTCTGTGCTCTCTGACCCCGAGCTGCTCTGGTTCTGCTGTTCTGACCCTGCACTGGAGGTCACTGTGGATGAGGATGTCGATGAGGAGCGAGTCTTTTCCTTAAAGTCTGTGATAATGACGGTGACGTTGCCCACAGTTACTGCCAACTGCTGTGCAGTGCTCCTGTCCACATTTTTCAGCCGGGGCCTGGAAGCAACACCACAGGGGAAGAGCCAATTAAGTTAAGTTATGGATCAAAAACAGCTTCTGGCAGAATGTCATCAATACGCAAAAGACTTCATGACACTGTGGCGATGAATCTGAACTGCCTACTGCACATGCCAAAGCCGACTACAAAGTGTGCTGCTCAGCTTTGGCAATAATCAAACAAGCACAGGTAGCAAAGCCTGGGACCACTGTAAAATTACTATTAATTTATCTGTCACCTGTTCTGGCCACAGTATTTAAAAGGGGGGAAAGCCACCAACCCCACACCTAGCTCTTCACCTTCTTAGCCTACAGATCCAAGGCACAAAACCACCCTGGGTTCATGACTATGATTAAATCAATCAGAGCAGTGATTCAGTATGTCACTGTAGTTTCCGAGTACCTTGAGGTGTGATTCGTTTCGCTGGTCTTTGTTGTAGCATTTGCAGACTGTATGCTGTTTGCTTCACTAGGAGGATCTTTAAGAATGTCAGACTTTGGTCTACATGAGGAGATACAAAAAAAACCAAACAGGCAGTTAGAAGATACTGAAATTCACCTGCAAAGTAATATCCTGTACTTAGTTAACCAGAAACTTACTTTGTTTTCTTGTTGGTATTTTTCTTGGTAACACTGGGACTGATTTCCTTGTCTTTCTCAGGTTTCTCTTTGTCCTGCTTTTCAACTTTCTCCTTCTTCTCCTTTTTAGGAGGTGGTGGGGTGGCGTACTGTTGTGCCACTTGTTGTGCCACCAGCTGAGAATTGATCCGAGGTTTTCTAAAATGTTCAAAAATATATAAATATCACTATTTGCTTTATAAATTTTTAAAGACATTTTTATCTGGTCTCAATTCCTTAGGTATTTTATTACTGGTATCTGCCAACTCAAAACGCAATTATATGGTACATTTTATGTCTACATTATTTTGTATGGATTATTTAGTAGGGATACTAAACTTTTCCTTTTTCAAAGGAAATGATACATTCCCATGTGAAAACACTAACATGCACATCCCTGTGCTGTAAAATAGTCTTTGAGCCAATAAAACATGACAAGTGTTTCTAAGAGTGCTGAGAACACTACTTCTTTCAAGCCATCAAGATGATACTGACTGACAGCTTTCAAATACTCCTGCTACAGAGGGTTAATCTCATTTTATTAAATGGACACTGGTAATCCGTTGAAAAGAGAATGAAATTAGAAGTGTGACATTCACTCCTCAATCTAATTATTCCAACTTGTTCTGCTCCCCTGCAGCTCTGTGATTGGCACAGACAACACATATAGAGCAATAAACGTAACTGTGGTTCATATTAGCTCCCAAGGGAGTGAAGACTGAAAGTCACTGTAAAAAAAATCTTACACAAGTGACACATTCATTGTGCCATAAACCATTATGTCTGTGCCAATCTCCAACTGACACTGGCTCTTAGCACTATTGTTCACAAATTCTAAGTGGTGCCAAACACTTTCACAATGTATGATCATTCACAGCCCTAAAAGAGAAAGGGAGAAAGGAATGCCTATGCTTTATTTCTACATAATATTAATTCTCCAAGACATTCTCATCTAGATAGACATTTACAATATAATAAACTCTCCAAGTTTAAGATGGAAAACAAATATACAAATGGTTCATTAACAAAGTAAAACAACTGGCTGCCAGAATGTAAGAGACCCCTCTTTAGATCCGACAGCTCCCTCTCCAATCCCCCAGGATGGAGGAACAGACTGGAGAAAAATAACTGGACAGACCAAGTATGACTCATCAATGGGAGTGTCTGTGGTGGAGAATTAGAAAACAAAAATCGAAAAACAAAACCCAGAACAAAGCTGCTACATTCTTACCTAATGCTATTTTTTTTTTTTTTTTGAGATGGAGTCTCACTGTGTTGCCCAGGCTGGAGTGCAGTGGCACGATCTTGGCTCACTACAACCTCCACGCCTTCCAGGTTTGAGCAATTCTTCTGACTCAGTCTCCTAAGTAGCTTGGCTGGACTACGGGCGCCCGTTACCATGCCTGGCTAATTTTTCTGCTTTAAGTAAAGACGGGGTTTCACCATGTTGGCCAGGCTGATCTCGAACTCCCGATCCACCTGCCTAGGCCTCCCAAAGTGCTGATAATACAGGCGTGAACCACCACACCCGGCAAATGCTGCTATTCTTTACCAGGAAACAAAATGGCTCCCTAAGCTAAGTGTGGTTACTGGAGCACCTCTTGGGCAGTGGATGTGATGTAGATGACAGGGGATGCAGGAGGGGTGGGGACAGATCCTTACACCATGACAGCATCACAGTTAACCTGAGCACTGAAGGAACTGGGTATATTCTGAGTGTTTCAGTACTGGTCGTGGCTTTGCAAGAAAACCTTGCAAAAAACATGCAAGCTCAGAGCAAGTCAGCCATTGGCCTCTAGTAATACAGTACAAGCTTTGTCATGGGATGATACATCACAAAACTTTTTATTACCTGAGCCTGGATCACAAGTAACAAGGGATTCAAACACACGTTAAAAGCATCCTGGAGAAGGGGCATGTACTTACTCTAAACTCCTCTCCCGTAAGAAACACACAGGACCCCCGAGGTGAAAGGTGGCTGTCCCTTTTACACAGATTCTAACAGCAGCAGCAGCTATTCTAACACATTTTACTCCTTTTAAAGAGGAAGTATGACTGTGTTAATACTTCAAAAGATAAGGACCGCTACGAAACACTGCACATGCACTCACTGAGGACACAGGTCAGCTGTCTACAGGGATTACCAAACAGTTTCAATTACAGCTAAAATAAGCCACCATACATTAACAAATATTCAGATGTTAAAAAAAAAAAAAAAAGCCAGAGTTAATATGAATAAACTATTCAAATTTTATGAGAACCTACATCCTAATGAAAAATTTCAATTCAGCCAATATGGTACTTTATGCCAAAGAAATTTGAAAGAACAAGAGAGGATATCTGAACACCAATTAAGAGTATCCTAAACACAGAGAGAATCAAAGGTAAACCAGGTGCTTGGCCCCAGAGAAATCTCAGCCTAATCACCATGTCCACCCAATCTGAGATGGAGGAGTCTGCCTTACTCCAAGGCAACCTAGAAAGCTGTCACTTACCATGTTACACCATAACTGCCAATCAACTGTGTACTCAAAGACCACATCTTAGTCATCATTGTCAGTATGGCATTAAGCAGTTAGGTACTCAATAAAATTATCTACTAGATGAATAAATGAACACTGCAGAGAAACACGAAGTAGGCTTCAAACTGAGAAGAGGGTCCAAGCTTTGGAGATGGAGGTCACTGGTGATTTTTAGGAAAGCAAGCTATATGCCATCAGGGTGGCAAGAATTAAGAGCCTGAAGGTTGTCAGAGGAAGAACACAGGAACTCTTCCTTACCTCAGAACTGTGGTGCTGAGGGAAGGGATTGCTCCGCTCATTACCCGGAGGGATTAGCAAACTGAGGAGGATTTCTAGAGGAAACAGGGTCTTGGATGATGCTGTACAATCAAAGAGAGAGAAAGACAGAGGGCAGGCAAGAGAGAGGGGTTAAAAATCACCGGTCAAGGAGAGAGAGAGAAAACAACTAATCAAAAGCCCTGGGGAAAGGAATGGGGACACTTTCTACTGAGACATGAAAGGGATACTAGATAAAGGGACATTTTTACTAGAAAGATGACAATCTGAGGAAGTTCTCTCAGTTGGCCTCTCCATTCCCGAGGAAATAGGCAATATGGCAGAGGTAGTGTAGGTAGGGGTTGTGAGCAGAACTTGGAAATGAGACATCAAAAAACAGTTTAAATGAATCATGGAGATCGAAAGCAGTGCCTGGTTTGGTGAGTAGCAGGCACTAACAGTATAGGAGAACAGAGAGAAAAGGAAATTTACTTGCATCTCACAAATTACCCTTGATGGCATGAATATAGTATGCCTAAAAGAAGCAGGTCTCCAGTACCCAGAGATCATGCTTATCCAAAATGGCTTATTCACTAAAACACGGCCCGCCTGCCACAACTATTTATTGGCATAGTGTAGACAACAGGTAAGGGTATCCTCTGGATGGTTCTGCCACTGACATCATTCAACAGTTCAGCAAATGCATGATCAGAATTCTTCAGTGCATCCAACACAACACAGAATCTACAGGATAAAGTCTGTATGTACAAAAGGTAAAATTTCAGCCGTTAAGTCCTCCTAAAATACAACATATAAGCCCAACTAGGTCAATGTGTCACTTGCTCCTAAGAAAATGTTTGATTAGTATGATGAAGTGTTTCTCCCTCTGTTGGTCAACAAACCAAAATTTTACAAATGAAAAGGATACAAGACTATTTGGGATCTGACTATTACCAAGAAAAACGGGGCATCTGCTAAAACCACTTGTATTGTTTGAAAAGTACTTCTGTGTTCTGAATATCCTTAAATGTCCTTAAATGACAACCCACTCTTAAACCATCACTTGCCTCCCTTCTCCACCCAAACCCCTCTACAACAGGTGAGCATTTATCACCTTAATATAATTGCTTTTTCAAACTAGTTCTCCCAACAAATGCCACAGTGCTCCCAGGGTTGGGGAGCAGGGGATAAGGTAGGGAAACTCACCTTTTGGAAGGCTAAGGAAAAGAAAAACCCAAGGGCCAGCAGGCTGAGCCCTCCCATATAAAGATTCTGCCCTGTCAGAACTGTTCTGGCAACTCTTGCAATCCGTTCCCTCTCAACTTCTAGGCTAATACTCTCTTCGCTGCACAGCAAGTGGAAAAATGAGAAAGTCCAATTACCACTGAGAGTTATGTACACTCCCACACTCCACTGCTGGGGTGCTGTGCCAGATTCTCCAGGTTAGACATTACAGATGTACCTAAAGCAGGAGATAGGCAGAACCCTTTCACAGCTGGACAGGCACATCATGAAATCAGATTCAGCACAACATCCCCTCCCCTCAAGGAGGAACTGTCATCTCCATTTAACCCATCAGGAAGACTGAGGAGCAGAAGGAGTAAGAAATTCATCCAAAGTTCGGCTCCATCTGGACTCTCTTCATGGACTCCTCTTATCTGGAGGTATCCTTAAACTAGTCTCCCAGCCTTTGAAGAGTGCAGCCTGGCGTGTGTGTGTCAGGGGTGGCAATGCGGGATGAAAAGGGTGATGAGGGTACTAGGGATTGAAACACTCAGGTCCCCAAGTTACAGTTTAGTTAGACACCTCCTTGAGAACACCACTGCTGCCTTTGTTAGCCTCACTATACCTTACTCTGGTAAGAAGGGGACGACTTGATTTTCTTTAAGAAAAGATAAAGGGGCTGGGGAACAAGGGTTTCCTTGCTTTCCACTGCCTTTGGAACATTCTCTGTAAGGAATCAACTCATATTATGATATTTAACACTGCTGATCAGTAAGAAAGTGACTTCCTACAAATTTACATTGCTTAATGAAGTCTTCTAAGTGTCATACAACACACTATAAAAAGCACTCAATGGCAAAACTTTCAACATATTGTGGCAGGTCACTTCTTCAATACGAGCTGACAGTCTGAGTCCCCGAGATTATTCAAGTTTCTCCAATTGACAAACCTTAAATAAGCAGTTAAATGCCTTCACAACGAAGTGGTAAATATTAGATCAGAACCCACGGCCTACAGCTTTTGGTGTCTAAGACTCAAATTAAAACCAATCAACCATCACCACCACCACCACCACCACCAACAATCTCCAAAAAATGACCAGACACACAAGATAGTAAACACAGAGCCCAGTTCCCCTCATAAATTTAGCAAACAAGCTTTCTGTATCTTCTTTAAGACTACATTTTCTTATGAAAGAGGTGTCTCCTTGAAATATTATTTTACAGGTTTATTGCTGCCATTTTAGTAGCATATAAATTAAAATGTGGTATGAAACTTCAATAATAGACATCATCAGGAAAATATTTACTTGCATTTAAGCAGCTAACATTTAAGAAGAGTCCATTCTAGGCCGGGTGCGGTGGCTTAAGCCTGTAATCCCAGCACTTTGGGAGGCCGAGGCAGGTGGATCACGAGGTCAAGAGATCGAGACCATCCTGGTCAATATGGTGAAACCCCGTCTCTACTAAAACTACAAAAAAAATTAGCTGGGCATGGTGGCTCGTGCCTGTAGTCCCAGCTACTCAGGAGGCTGAGGCAGGAGAATTGCTTGAACCCAGGAGGCGGAGGTTACGGTGAGCCGAGATCGCGCCATTGCACTCCAGCCTGGGTAACAAGAGCGAAACTCTGTCTCCAAAAAAAAAAAAAAAAAAAAAAAGAGTCCATTCTATAAAAAGTGAAGCAGACCTCTATCTGGGGCATCCTGAGTATCCAGAAAGGAAAACCTCAGAGAGTTCAAATGTACACGAGCACAAATGAGAAAACAAGATATCTTTTTCTGGATTGACGGCTTTGGTATGTGTACTGATACCACTTCCAGGGAGCAGGCAAAACAGTATTTTTTTAAAGAGGCATTTCCCTCCATCTACTCTTTCTTCTTTTCCTTTTCCTCTTGTGCAACCTGAGATCTTACTGCTCATTTCTCACATACTTCTCGGGATCTCAGCTACAACAACAAGCAATGAGATGACAAGCCTATCTTCTTCTGATTCAGGCAATAAAAGGCAAGAAGGGTCTCTAAAAAATTGTATCTTTTCCACGATTCAGCTTTTCTTAAACTATCAATCATGTCCATTTTGCTCACTTGTGGAATTCCACCTGGTGTTTCACCTTTCAATTAAAATATCCACAGGTAGTGGAATTAAGACAATAAACCCATCCATCTCAAACAAGAGGTACTTTACAATTAACATTGCTCCTTACAACTTAAAAAATGTCTTCATCA